TAGAGCAATTTGAAAACATTTTTTATGAGTTAATACAATTAAAAAAAAAAAAAAAAAAAGCCAAAGTAGGAAAGTTCTGCAGAGTAGCTGACTATAAATGCCAAATACCAGAGATGCAAAGTAATATGAGGACTAAGAAAACAATTTAGCTCAGAATATTAGAAATAGTAACAATGGTCATTACTAGCACCACCTCTACCAATTTGTCTAGTATTTTGTAATTTTCAAAGAACTCTCGCTAATATCATTAGTTTAAAAACTGAATAGTAGGGCGAAAATCTCTTTTTTGATCCAGCTTTACAGCTGTAATAGACTCAATTATAGGAGTATTACATATATACCAAAGAAATACCACATTTACTTGTACGGTGTATATTTATGCTCTTTAAACCTCTTCTATATTTTAATCCTAGGGAAAATAAAGTACTAAAAGGTGAAATAACTTGCCCCGTGGCAAAAAAAAAAAAAAAAAAAGCTAGGAAATGGTAGACTAGAACAAAGCGGTTATATATACTCCTGATACTCCTAAGTTCATGCAGAGTCTGGAAACACTGCTCAAGGAAAAAGAGATATTAAACTATAGACATAAATTTTGGAGTCTAAAAGAAAAAGAGTGATGGCTATTTATAAAAATTAGAAGATGGTGATATGGGTAAAACAGGAAAGGGAAGGAACCATATGATGAGACAGAACACTTCATTAGAGGATGTTTTAACTCAAACCAGGGTAAAAACATGAATCAGAATAAATTGAGGGAGAAAGATATCCCAATCCTAAACAAAAACACCTAGATCTACAGGGAAATAAGATCTACATACTACCTACCTCTAAGAATACCTCATTCTCCTTTTATTCTGAAAATTTTACCCTGATTTTTTAAATAAATAATTTTTCCTTAAACTTTGTTCAGCTAGTTATAGTGGACACCTCTAAATTATTCAACCAAAGATTGGGCATTTTCAAAACTATGATGAATGCAAATGTTTCCATTAATAGGCCCCTAACGAGGCTGCTGTCACAACTTCTGCATAACCTAATTTAACAGTTCTCATGCTGAGTTCTGCATTCTACAGAAGTCCAAAAAATCTTCCAGATAGGCTTATTTTAAATGCTAACACGGGATGTACTAATAGCTATGTTAACTCCTATAAGGGGAAAAAAAAAAAAAAGGAGTTGGCAAACAGAATCACAATTACTCTCATTTCAGGGTGCAAAACAGAATCAAGTTTTAGTTTGAATTACTATGTAGCTAAATAAATCTAACATAACCAACTTGGAAAAGATGTCTCTAGCAGAATAAATGAATCCTTTTACCTTACTACCACAGTACCCTTAACTCTTGTAAGAGCTCAATTACAGAACTCATTAATTTTCTTTATATTGTAATTACAGTAGATTTTAATTTTCCAATAGAGTGTAAGATTTTCAAATATAAAGCATAGCCTTAATTATCTTTGCATCTTCCAAGTGCATAGATAAATCTTTGACCATACAGGCATTTTAATAAAGTATACATTAAATTTAAATAAGAAGCAAAACGAGATACCATCATCTCCTAACTCTACAACACCTCTTGGTTCTCCTAAACACAAGCCCATCCTTTTACTAGGTAGCTGAAATATTTAGAGTGGATTGGGGGACAGCTATGAGAACAGAATCCAAAACGTTTACAGAGAGGACAACAAAAAACAAGCAAATCAGTTCTTCATAGATAAGGAAAAAAGAAGCCCTGAGAGGATGAGACAATTTTCAGAGTCCTCATTTGTACATCACGTGCCTTGCAGGGACAGAGCCTCAGTTTTGTTTTGTTTTAAATGTATATTTTGTTTTAGTGATGAGAAGCTAAAATCTGAAGATTAAAAAAAATTTGAGTGAAGGGAACCTCAAAATGCAAAAAAAAAAAAAAAAAAGAATGTCTTTTCTGGAATGAGCTTACTTTAAAATATTATCAGTTATTTCTGAAATAGGAAAACAGTACTTAGCCCCATGCAACTAAAGCAAATATAAAACTTGCATTTTCTAATGCCTGTTATGTTATTATCCAGTTTGCTGTTTTTCAAATAAACTAAAACATAGATGATGGCTATATAAATTTCCTAGGATAATCCTATAGGGTTGTATAACAATTCCCAAATTACTCCTTGTGCAGATGTATTAGGTAGAACCAAAGGAAAAGAACTATCTCCCTTCTGATTTCAAGCACCCTTATTTATCCTGACACTGTCTCACCAGCTATTCAACTGTGCCTCTCCTTTCAAATATTTATCTTTTGAAATAAGAACGAAATACCGAATGGAGCTTGAAGACATTACGTCGAGTGAAATAAATCAGTCACAGCAGGACAAATACTGTATGATTTCACTTCGACAAGAAGAGGCAAAAGGGTATACAGACCAAAGTTTATTACTGGTTATCAGGGGCGGGAAAGAGAGGGAAGGGGGGGTGCCTATTACTTACAGAGTACTGAGTTCCATTTATGGTGATGGAAAAATCACAATAAGAGTAGGGCTGCAGAGCCAATTAATGTAATTGCTGTCAATAAGTTGTACACCTATAAAAAGTGGAATTGGCAAAAGTTGTGTGATACATATATTGACAACAATGACCAAAAAAAAAAAAAAAAAAAAAGAGTAGCTGCTGAGGCTGCTTATGTACAAATACCTTGTGGGATTTGGTTCCTTGGTTTGGAGGGTCATGGTTTTATGGGATATCCCAGTTAACTGGCCTAATAAAATACTTAGTGCCTATGTTCTACTTCCTAGTTCTTTGTGTAGTGCCTGGGGTCTTAAGAGTTTACAAGTGGCCATCCAAGGCACAACAACTGGTCTCTATTCACCTGGAGCAACAGAGGAAAGACAGTCAGGAACAGGAAGAGGAAATGGAATGTGTGCCTAACAGCCTCCATGAACAACTGCCTCCTTTGCCATGAGAACAGAAGAACTGGATGGTGCCCAGCTACCATTACCAAACATTTCGATCAAAGATTCTGCAGCGGAATCCTGATCAAAAGGGGGAAAATGCAGAAAAGAATTTCAAATTCTCATGGAATCCAGCCTTTCTGGAGCCACGGAGGCTGAATGAACCCCCAAAACTACTGCCCTAAAATAATCTTTAAATCTTAAACCAAATTTATCCCCTGATGTCTTCTCAAAACCAAACAATAGTTTAGCATAACTAGTAAAGAATGTCTGCTTTGAGCATGGTGCTCTTTTAAGATCTACCTGCATGGGATCAAACTGACAACAGCAACTCGAAAACTAGATGGAAATCTTAGGGGGCAGTGAGTTTATGTTAATGGTGGAGGAACAACTCTGAAAAGGAGGGTGAGAATGGTTCCACCACTCGAAGAATGTAATCAGTATCACTGAAGTGTACATATAAAAACTTGAATTGGTGTGTTATGTTTTTGCTGTGTATATTCTCAACAACAAACTAAAATATTAAAAAAAAAAAAAAAGAACTAAATACAAGAGTGACGTCTAAAGAAACCTGGTAAACTTGAATACCATAAACTACTAAAGTAAACCGTCAGTGAAAAATTACCCATGATGATACTGCCAGTACTGAATGGTAAGGAAGCATACTTTGATTTTATTTCAAATTCTAAGTAGGTTTAAGAATTGTTGGCATCCAAAAAGTAACCTGCAGTTGATCTTGTTTTGGTCACTAAGTTATAAAGAAAATGCAACCAAATCCTGATACCCTAGACACTACAGTACATTGCTCACTGTTCTTCCCCAGTGATAAACTGCAGAAGCAAGTGAGAGGGAGAAAGGAAAGAAGGGAAGAAGAAAGGGAGGGAAAGAAGGGAGAAGGGAGAGGGGGAAGGAAGGGAGGACAGATTCTTTACAAGGAGAGAATAAAGCACTTACACTTCATAGGACTTTCTAGCCACAGATGCCAGGTGCTACCCACTGAAATCCAGGCTTGGACTAAGCTCCACATTTCAGTAAGGACCATCTCAACCGAAGCCTGGGGCTCAGTCAGCAGGAGGAAGCTGCAGCTCCCACTAGCAGCACATTTCAAAGAGGCTGCAACAAGAGAACATTTTCCATTTAAGCATCTAATTCCAATCTCCCATTTCACAAAGCAGTAGCAGAACAGGCCTTTATATGAGTCTTTTCAAAAGATTATTTCCATGACTATGTGATGAATATGAGGCAGGCTATAACCCAGCAATCTTTTCACTAACATGCTCTAAATCCTTCATTATACTTCACAGCAGACCCTAAAAAGACTCTCCCCCTTTCTTCTGTAATGGTGCACTGTTGCTCCGAGACTCACTTCTACCCCAACAGTTTTAAAACTGCTGAATCAAATGAAATCACTGAACAGGCCCTCAACAATATAAGCACACCCCGATAGGAGCCTAAGGATTCATTAGCTGCCAAGAACTAGAAGAGGATTAGGACTGCTGGTTAATCCTACACAAAAACTCCTCAAATTAAGCGGAATTACTTAAAATACTTCACTGAGGACAGAAGAGCTCTGGCAAATAGAAAATGGGATTCTGGTAAGACAAATATTTGATTGAGACTTTAAGAGTAATATAAAAGTGTTGTACTATTTTTAGACATGTCAGTTAATGAATAATATATTTATTAAATAAAGACTTCCAAAGATTTGTAGTATGGGGGGGGTGCTACATCAGAGCACAGAGTGAAAAGAACTCTTAAAAACTATAAATCAGTCAAACAAAGCAACTTTTTAGACACATGCCCTGAAACAATATGATATAGAGCTAGAAAATCTGAATTTCTCAAACCAAGAAGAAACTATTTTCATGAGACAGGTAAAGAGAGAACCAAGACTAATTTATCTGAAATAGAAAAAGTAATTTTTTTAAAAGTAATCTGTTAAGTTTTTGTATCTAATACTTCATGAGAATTCTACAAATTTTAGAAAATTGCTAGATGGCATTCTTAGACAATGATAGGAAAAACTGGTTTCAAGGGATCTTATTTAAGAAAAATATAAGCTGAGGGACTCGTAAGAAGACCATGACTACCTAAAAAACATTTTTTTTCAATATAACCTATTTGGCAAGACAGCCTGAAGTAGAAAAACCACGATAAAATGAAACTGAGGTAATACCTTTAACACAGCAGTGATAAGTAAACAACACCCATTTCCAAATGCAGTTTTAAAAGAAAAATAATCATAAAGTATCTAACAAGCTTCCAGGCCCATAAAATATCCTGGTATGCAAATTAAGTAGCTTTTCTTTTTTTTTTTTAAATTTTATTTACTTTGTTATTGTTGAGCACATACCCAATAAGTAACTTTTCCTGACGCCAAAAAAACCCTCACTTATAGACAAATGTAAGTCAACTTTCATTTTCACTACCATTTCCATAATAATTAAATAGATATTTAAAAGGAAAATATTATTTACCTAACAGGAAGGAAGAGATTCCTAATTAAATATTATTCTTTAAAACATCATAAGGTATTCAAATTCCAGGAGAAATTCTCTAGCACTCTCCCAATCAACTCTGGAGACACAGTGCCCAGTCGCATCATTCTACCTTGCTCTCAAAGTAAGGCTCAATAAGACCAAATTGCAGCACTGCATACTGTGGTCTCTCCTTGGTTTCAGACAAAATCTCAGGGCTTCTGGGACAAATGTTTTCAAACAATCCTATGTCATGATAGCCTCTGTGAAACGAATCTTGGCTTAACTTTGTAGCTGTTGTCCACGCATAAGCTGGTACCACGATACCTTGCTGAAATTTTTGCATGCCAAGATGTAAAGAATCCCTATCCATATTTAAAATCCTTGGCCATCTATCTATGTGAATGTTAACCCCAAGAAGGTCTGAGAAAAGATAAATGTAAGTTTGGATACATAAAATCAACTTGGGTTGGGATTAACTGAAGCATGCATTCATTCCTTGATAATCACTTAACTGTGGGTCTTGCTAGCCATACTACACAGGCCTGATTTAAAAACAGAAAATGTCAAGCTTGAAACCATTTCACTTGAAGCAAATGGAGGGTATTTTCGTATTCTTGAAAGTCAAAAATATAGAAATGTATTTCATCACTAGTCTCTATTCCTGTCTACCTGAGCAAGTTTTAAAACAACTCAGATCAATCAGAAGAATGAGAATTTTATTGGCCATATTAAGCATATGTTAACATACACTGAAGATTCAAATTTTTCAAACTTATAAAATTGTGAGATGTCTAGCTAAAAGTATTGTGAAAGGTATTCAAGTGTTGGAAAACTCTGAATGCTTATAAAAACATAGGATTTTCAAGTCTAGTTTAGGGTATATTCTCCTGCTTTGGGGATATCTGTTTAAATGGTATTACACTACGGCTGAGATAAAAAATAAAGCAACGAAACAGAATAACAAAGAAAAACAACAAAAACTGTGCTGTGGGCTTGAGAAAAATTAAGTAAAAACCATAATGTAAACACCATTAACAGAAAACTTCTCACCAAAAACAAAAGAAAGGAAAGGAAAAGAACTTGTTTCACAGTATTTTTATTTTGCAAACTCTACCAGAAAGAAGAAAGCTAAATCAGTACTTTTAAGGGCCTCTGTATGTCAAACAGAAACCCTGGTGGCATAGTGGTTAAGAGTTCGGCTGCTAATCGAAAGGCTGGCAGTTCGAATCCACCAGGCGCTCCTTGGAAACCCTATGGGGCAGTTGTACCCTGTCCTATACGTTCACTGTGAGTTGGAACCAACTCCACAGCAACAGGTTTGGTTTTTTTTTTTTTTTTTTGGTATACCAAACACTACAAAATTATCCCCTTTAGCAGTACTGTGAACTTCCAATAAAGGGAAATAAGGCTTCCCTCTGGGACTTCACCTGTACAGCAGTAAGACAGTCTACAGTAAACATTCTAGAAATATTTCAGTACCATGGGGCAAGCTAGAGAAATGTAAAAGGTAATCTGGGCAATCTCATATTCCTATGAATTAAATTGTTTTTAAAATTCTATATAATCGATTTTCCATTTCCCCCATAAATAACAGTATAGTTACCATGAATGCTGAAATGTCTGAAAAGCTTTAGAAGAAAACTGTTATAATTAGAAAATGTAGCAAAGCTCTAGTAACTTTACATCAGAATCGAACCATCAGTCAACTTTGGCTCAAGGCCTGGGAAGACAAGAAATAAGCTAATCCAAATACAGACTACCATGCCTACAGAAACCATCACAACAAATTTACATACATAGGCTCCAATACACCAAACACATGAAATGTTCTATATCTGCACTGTCCAATGTAATAGCACTAGCCAAAAGTTGGTATTGAAGACTTGAAATATGGCTAGTGCTACTGAGGAAATTATTTTTAACTTTAATTTTAATGAATTTAAATTTAAACAGGTACATATGGCTAGTGGCTACCATATGGATGATGCAGCTAAACTTGTAAGCTCTTTGGGAGAAAAGCCTTTGATTTTTATTATTTACTTATACACCCCATTTCTAGCACACTACAAGGCATACATTATTCATTTGTTCATTGAACTAACTGATCCACAGATACTGTACAGGGATATTTTCTATTTTCTAGGAGGCTTTCCTTTAAAAGTACATGATGTTTTCACGGTCTCAACTAGAGAATTAAGGCGTAAGAATAAACCACACCTATATTCTCAGGTAAATCAAATCAGTGACTCCAACTGCTAGAGAAAACCAGCTTTCAGAACTGGCTAGAAGAATCTAGGCTAAAGAATCAAGAAATTCCAAACAGGAAACGCACTGAGAAAGAAGTGTGAAGCTGGTATTCCATGACCCATGACCTTCCTGATCTGATATTTAGACAAAGAAAATTCCCAAGGACGTGATAAACCAAACATGATCATGCCAACTTAGTCCATCATTTGATTTATGGTTTTCAACATTCCTTTACAGTTTCTACATTGGGCTTTTATAAAACTTTTGAGGTAACCTCTAACCCACAGATTGTCTCTGTAAAAGCAGTGTTCTCTTTGTAATTTAAATTGTTGCTTTTAGGTGCCAAGTTGGTTCCAACTCATAGCAACCCTACATACAACAGAACAAAACATTGCCTGGGTTCTGTGCCATCTTCACAATCCTTATGTTTGAGCCCACGGTTGCAGCCACTGTGTCAATCTATCTTGTCGAGGGTCTTCTTCATTTTTGCTGACTCTCTACTTTACCAAGCATAATTTAAATCAGAGCCTTAAAATAACTCAGTAGCACAGTCCTATACCCATAGTTACGACCAACTCATTAGTCCTATAAGGAGATGGTCTTTCCTCCCGTTGCTTTCTACACATCTGCCAATTTTGGTTACTGGCCACAGACAAAGGAAACAACTAAGTGTTCAGAACAGGCCCTTGCTAGACAGGCATCCTTTAAGATTTGCCTCAAAATAATTTTATTTCTTTTAGATCATGTCTGCCTATCACATACAGCATAACCACAGCTGTAGGTTGTTTCCAAGAACTTTGCTGGACAAAAAGTTTAACTTAATTAATAGTAACTCTTCAGAAAATGGCTGTTTTAAAGAGTGATTTTACAGCAAACCAAGTAAATTGTGTTCTTTACCAGTTTCAAACAAAAATTAAAATGCAATGCTTGTTACTACACTAAACCAGACTTTTGGTTACAAATGCCATTTAATGACTACTTCAAGAAAGCTTTACCGAATCAAAAAGTTCCTCTCCCTTTCTGTACCTGACTCTTTCCAAGTATGCAATATGAACTTATCTCACAGAAGTTTTTTACAGAAGGTTGGAAAGATTGAAAACAAAGCGTCACAGAAGGGTGAATAATACTGTTTATTTTCAATCATCCATGAATATGGTGGAGAGAGACAGCAAAATAAATGAAATTCACAGATTTAGACAAATTTAAGTCAACTGACCTTTGGAGGTGACTACAAGCAAGTATTCATTCAACAAACATTTTTAAGAACCAGACATCTTGATAGTTTCTCTTTCTTAATAAACATGGTTTGTTTCTTCAATTATGGGTATAGGACTACATAAACAAATAAATGTGACAAGAATCTTACAGTCCGGTAGGGGAGATAAAACAAATTTTCGAAAAGATAAAAAATGGCAAACGCATGAAATAAAGTGCTCTAGGAGTTCAGTAGGGGAAAAATGACTTCAGCTGAAGAGAATCAGTGACACCTTGAAGAAGGCAGAAATTTAGACTGGGCTTTTAAAAGATGGGTTACTGTCTGCACTTGAAGACAGTTGACAGTTAAAAGCACAAAGGTAAGAAATCAAAGAAATAACAAAATTGGACAAACGCAGTGCCCCTCTCCCCACCCCCACCCTCCAAAAAAAGCATTTATTTACTATGGGAGATACTACAGGTACTTGAATGCTGATGAAAAGGACCCAATAAGGGAGTCTGGGGATGCAAGGTGAAATAGGAGATAACCAAAATATTAATGTCCCTGAGAATTCAGAAGATGAGATGCAGAGCATACCTGGGTCTCACAGGAGGCAGAACAGTGGGATTTACCCACGCAGAAGTTTACCAAAGCAGAGGGGAAGGGTTTATGGTATATCTAGGAAAGTGATTGGAATGATAGACTTTGGGATCCAAATTGGATAAGGAGAGAAGACAGGATGACCCAATAAAGAAAAAAAATAAAGGAGACAGTCAATGGATTCAGGTTTTGATGAAATTCAAGAGTAAAGGGTCTTCTGTTTAACAGAGCCCTAGTGGAGAGTGGTTAAAGCATTCAGCTGCCAACCAAAAGCTTGGCGGTTCGAACCCACCAGCAACTCTGCAGGAGAAAAATGTGGCAGCCTGCTTCTGTAAAGATTACAGCCTTGGAAACTGTGTGGGGCAGTTCTACTCTGTCCTATAGGGTTGCTAAGAGTCAGAATCGACTCAAGAGCAATGGGTTTGGGTTTTGTTTTTGTTTTGTTTTTTTCTGGGAGGGGGGCTGACTGAACACAACTGTTTGCCTCAGGGTCCTTCCAAAAATCCACTAAAATGACAGTAAATAAAATAATAATAAAGATGGGAATCCACAAAGACAAAGACAATAGAAACAGATGACAAATACCAACAAAACTATGGAGACTGGAAAGCTAATGGATAAGTGTCGACTGTCTTAGCAGATCTGAGAAGGCTTGACTCGTGGGGAAGGAGAAGATGGGATGAGAATGGGGAAGCCAAGGGGTAGCTTGATTCATATTACAAAATCCCAGAAAGGCTCAGGAATTGGAAGCACCAAGTACAGCTGAAGGTAGATGCACAGGTGAAGCTAAAAACAAAGGGATGCGCTGAAAATCTGTGTAAGAAGCCGTTAAGACTCCTAGATTCCCTCCTGAGTGAGTGGCAAGGCTACTATCTTCCCACCATCACAGAAGACTCAGGGTCTACTTTGGAAGGATTGAAATAGGACTTTGGACTCTTGTACAGAGCCCTGGTGGCACAGTGGTTAAAAGCTTGGCTGCTAACCAAAAGGTCGGCAGTTCAAATCCACCACCCACTCCTCTGAAACCCAATGGGGCAGTTACACTCTGTCCTACAGGGTCGCTATGAGTCGGAATTGACTCAACGGCAGTAGGTTTGGTTTTTGATTGGTTGGACTCTTGGACAACAGATTCAGCTAAGGATAAAAGTATAATACTGAAAACCGGAGATTAAATTAAAGCCTACATATTTATTGGTGAGATCCACTCTAAGCTCATTTCCCAACCTGGCCCTGAGAACACTGGCAGTCTAGCTTATAACTCCCAGGCAGATAATTTAAAGATTCTTCTCGGGGAAAAACTGGCCCCAAAAAAGCAGACCAACAGAAAGACAATGGTAGAGAAGGGGCAGAAGTTTGCTTCTCAATTATTCATCAAATGAGGGATGGACATTGATGATGTGTGATTGTGCTGGATATTTTCCAGGTCCACTTTTTCACCTTTCTTACCATGTTTTCTGCCCTAGTAGGCTGGCCTCTATGGACTGTATCAACAGGTTCTCATGTCCCCTGGCTTCTGGTTAGGTATGGCCAGTGAGGAGTCCCAGCAGGAAACCGGAAGAAAATGAGGTCAAGATATTTAGTCCTCCAGCTTCCTCCCTAAAAGGTCACCTCAAACTGGCTGTGTCCCTTCAAATGAAAAGTCAGCATTCCTCTCAAGGCAGCAAACATCATACTCTTTCTTCAAGTCTGAGTAAACACTCTGTCTCCTAGCCCCTCTTCAGACAGAAGATGTTAACAGTTTGGCTACAGGTTACCACACCATTTCTTGTGGTACCATTATATCCACATCTTTATAAATAGTACCCTTGTAAAAGAAACCCTTCTGTAATTATTCTACTCCAAATGTGCCATCTGCTTCTGTTGAGATTTTGACGATTAACAATAGTGATGATGATAATAGGTTGTAGCAGAGAGTGTGGAAAATAGAGAAAAGTGACTAACATTTAAATAACAACATATTCGAGCTCTATGTGTCAAGAACTTTTCTAAGTTCTTTGTACGTTATTAACTCATTTAATCACAACTACGCTCGTGGTAAGCAAGGATTTTTGTCTGGCACACTTCCATATACCAAGGCCAAGAACAGTGCTAGTACATGCTAAGCACTCAAGTACTGACTTACATACACACAGGATAAGCAGACTTAGAAGGGAAATGCTGGCTTTTGTAGTATGATGTAGCATTACTGCTATTTATACTTTAGGAAACTATAAGATAATCAGGGACATGTGACTCCCCAAATCACAGAAACAGACTAAAATACTAAATGAGAGCATAACATGAATGATTTTATGTAACTTAAAGTGAGTCTTATCTTCCCACCAAGTAAACCAGTATTTGGGTCCCAATTTTAAAAACTAAGTGTAACAACTGACAAATGCTGAATTGACAAATGTTTTCGTAATCTATATTTTTTACAATTTTCAAAAAGTGCAATATTCAAAACTGAAAATTTTAAAATATTTACTATGCACTTGCAGCCATCTTTAGCTTTTGTTTAAAAAAAGGAAGACGGAATTTCTTTTAAAACTATGCTTGGGACTATAAAATGCAAAAATAAGAAAGATAAGGTGGGTATTTTGTCAGTTTGTATAAGCCTTTTCAGTTTCCAAAGTACTTTCCAATTTGTAAACTAAATCCTACTTAAAGGACCTAAGTCAGCAAGATCACCAAGTATTCACACACTCACACAGAAATAAAGCACAGCGAAGGTGAGTGTGAAAATTGGAGGGGGGAGCATAAAATAGGTGAATCAAAGAATGCTGAACTAATTCAACAGATAGGTATGATAGTTTGTAATTATAGGTAACAAGCGGCTTTTCTCAAACACTTCACAGGACGCTCACAACAGTTCTATGGAACCGATGACACCCATCTTAATACAAAAAACTGGAAGTCAGGAAAGTGACAAAAGCAGAAAACCCACATGCAGAAAAATGAAAATTCCAGATTTTCTGAAACCAAAATTGATACTTTTTTCTTTACACTATGTTACACCCCAAAACACATGGGAAACTCACCTAGAAACCTGAGAAGTTTCGAGAATAATGAGCTCAAACAAACTAGAGTGAGAATCGGCGAGGAATAGTGACGTGAGTAAGGTTACGACTAGGCAGAAATTGCCAGATGCAACACCTGGAAACGGGGGGAAGGAACACGGATAAAGCGTTCTTAAGTGGAAGGTGGACAAAGAATGGGATTGAGTTGAAGGAAGACGAAACGGAAGAGCTGGGCCTAAAAAGTAGTATCAAGAGTAAAACTTAAACGGACTAGATCGATGCCACAAGCGAAAAGTATAGGATTTACAAATCAGATTCTACGGGTTGGGAAAAGGGCCAGTTCGCGACCAAGCAGTTGCGACTAGTTTCCGAAAAGGGCATATATGCAGTTTCTCAGCCCCACCCCGCGGCAGCAGCTCCTCCCCAAGGAGGACCTCACGAGGCCAAAAGCCGGGCTGAGGCTGCCTCCTCGAGCCTAGGTCTCGTTCCGCCTCTGCCCCGCGGGGCAGAACGGCCTCTTCGGGCCCCTCACCGAACGCTGCAGCTCCCCAAGCCAAAACGAGGCGCGCTCCTTTCCGCTGGGATCTGGGTCGTGGTAAAGCGCCTGAACTGCCTGATACACGAGCTGCAAAGTCGGCTTCGCTCCTTCCATGGTGGTGGTGGCAGTGGTGGCAGCGATGGCTCTGGCTCCTCTCCCGAGGCTTCTCCGGTTGCTCCGCCTTTGCGCTTCCTCACTGCCTCGGCCACGGCCGCTCCCTAACTGGCGCCATCTCCTCCTTTTTGGCCGTTACCAGGGCAGAGGGGTTCTGCGTGGAAGTTGCCCCCTCGGAAACAGCGGTCAGGTCGTATTCAGGTTCCTGCCCTTTTTTCCGATCCTTCCACTAGGCTCCAGACTTCTGGGTCCAGACGCTGATGCTCGCCTCCTCGCCCACTGTCTTTCTCTCAGAAGTCTAATCCCACGAGACAAACCACACACAGGACCTCAGCCGCGTTTACCCGGACCGGAAGCGGCTGCACAGCTACCTTTGGCACACTTCCGCCCGGTGCTCTGCAAACGGCCTCCTCCCCGCCACGCCTCCTCCGTGTTTCCCCGCCCTTTCCGGAAGTGACCCTGCTGTGCCAGGACTCGGTGAGGAAGTGTTAGGTTCACTTGTCTTCCTTTCTTGTGTCCGGGTGGAGCTTTAGGACCGATTTGTGGCCCATCCCCGAGCTGCTCTTCCCTTCTTCGCATCGTAGCTTGTGTCTTTACTCCCCATTCCGACTTCCCTATCCCTCTTCAGAGAATCTTCTGGCCTTACGAACCAGGCTAGTCAATTCAACCATACGCAGAGTGTTCACTGTATTGGAGACCCAAAGATGACTTCAGTCACTGTTCTTGCGCTGACTCTACTGGAGGAGACAGACGCGTAATCAATTAACTATTATACAAACCTGAAATAGGTGCCTCATTGAAATAATGCAAAATGTCTACAATCCCAAGCTCTTACACCCAAAAGGGGTCTTTCATTCTACCGCCCTGGATGTTCTGAACTCATGATTAAGTGTTCTGGAATTCCCATTCATCGAAATAGTTATCCATAATTTGTTATGATCCATACAGTTGAATGCCTTTGCATAGTCAATAAAACACAGGTAAACATCTTTCTCGTATTCTCTGCTTTCAGCTAAGATCCATCTATCATCAGCAATGATATCCGTCATTCCACGTCTTCTGAATCCAGCTTAAATTTCTGGCAATTCCTTGTCGATGTACTGCTGCAACCGTTTTGGAATTATCTTCCGCAAAATTTTATTTGCATGTGATATTAATGATATCGTTTGATAATTTCAGACATTCTGTTGGATCACATTTCTTTGGAATGGAAGCAAATATGGATCTCTTCTAGTCGGTTGGCCAGGTAGCTGTTTTCCAGATTTCTTTGTATAAATGAGTGAGTGCTTCCAGCATTACATGCGTTTGTTGAAACATCTCAATTAGTATTCCGTCAGTTTCTGGAGCCTTGTTTTTCACCAATGCTTTCAGTGCAGCTTGGACTTATTCCTTCAATACCATTGGTTCTTGATCATATGCTACTTCCTGAAATGGTTGAACGTTGACCGATTCCTTTTGGTACAGTGACTGTGTATTCTTTCCCTCTTCTTTTGATGCTTCCTGCATCGTTCAGTATTTTGCCCATAGAATCCTTCAGTACTGCAACTCGCTTAAATTTTTTCTTCAGTTCTTTCACCTTGAAATCTTCTGTTCAGCTTTTTTGCTTCATCATTTCTTCCAATTGCTCTAGCTACTCTATGTTCAAGAGCAGGTTTCAGAGTCTCTTCTGCCAGCCATTTTGTTCTGTTCTTTCTTTCCTGTCTTTTTAACGATCTTTTGCTTTCTTTATGTATGATGTCATCCCATAACTCATCTGGTCTTTGGTCATTAGTGTTCAACGTGTCAAATCTGTTCTTGTAATGGTCCCTAAGTTCAGGTGGGATATACTCAAGGTCATAGTTTGGCTCTTGTGGACTTGTTTTAATTTTCTTCAGCTTCAACTTGAACTTGGCTATGAGCAGTTGATGGTCTGTTCTGCAATTGACTCCGGGCCTTGTTCTGACTGATGATATTGAGCTTCTCCATTGTCTCTTTCCACAGATATAGTTGATTTGATTCTGGTGTATTCCATCCAGGGAGGTCGACATGTATAGTCACCATTTATGTTGTTGAAAAAAGGTATTTGCAACAAATAAGTTGTTGGTCTTGCAAAATTCTGTCATGCGATCTCCGGCATCATTTCTATCACCAAGGCCGTATTTTCCAACTACAGATCCTTCTTTGTTTCCAACTTTCACATTCCAATCACCAGTAATTATCAGTGCATCTTAATTGCATGTTTGATCAATTTCAGACTGCAGAAGTTGGTAAAAATTTTCAATTTCTTCGCATCTTTGGCCTTAGTAGTTGGTGCATAAATTTGAGTAGAAGTCATATTAACTCGTCTTCCTTGTAGGCGTATGGATATTATCCTATCACTGACAGCATTGTACTTCAGGATGGATCTTGAAATGTTCTTTTTGACGATCAATCAACACCATTTCTCTTCAAGTGTCATTTCCGATATAGTAGACCATATGATTGTCCGATTCAACATGGCCAATACCAGTCCATTTCAGCTCACTTATGGCTAGGATATTGATCTTTATGCATTCCATTTCATTTTCGACAACTTCCAATTTTCCTAGATTCATACTTCAAACATTTCACATTCCGATTATTGATGGATGTTTGCAACTGCTGCGTCTCATTTTGAGTCGTGCCAAACCCTTAGGCAGACTTAAGTACTTAACAAAATAATTTTTTTAATGTTCTTAAGGAACGGTCTTGACACAAGATCCTTATCCAAGTCCCCTCAGCAGCCCTCAGGAAATGTTTAAGATAATTACCTTGTAACTGCCCTGTAAAATCCCTTTAGTCACGTATTCAAACTAACCAATCCAAATAACCCACATTCAGATTTCCAACCAATCACTGTAAAGCGCACCTACCTCAAGTTGTCCTACCTCCTGATGTTGCAACTTCCAATCAGAATATTGTAACCTAGTTCCTGGTTTCTGCCCTATATCTATCCCTGGGAAGCAGCCACCCCTTGGAATTGTTAATTTTTACTCTGTGTGGGATAACATCTCCCCATCTGAATGTCTCTTACGTTTTCAATAAATCTCTTTGTTTCACTTTAACAGAGTCTGTTTTGCTCTAGGATACTATTTGAAAAGAACGAAAAGCAGTTCAATACAGTGTAAAAAGAACAATGTTGGACCTCCTATCTCACACCATATTAAAAAAAAAAAAAAAGAAAAGGATCATAGAACTTAAATCTAAGACCTAAAGATATAAAACTCTTAAAAGAGAACATGACCTTGGATTAAGCAATGGTTTCTTAGATATAGCACTTACAGCAGAATCCACAAAAGGAAAGATAAATTGGACTTTATCAAAATTAAAGACTTGTGTGTGTCAAAGGACACTACCAAGAAAGTGAAGCGACAATTCACAGAATGAGGGAAAATATTTGCAAAACATATACCTGATAAGCAATTAGTATCTAGACTATATAAGGAATTCTTACACCTCAGTAATGAAAAGACAACATGGCAAATGATTTGAATAGACATTTTTCCAAAGAAGATGCTAATGGACAGTAAACACTTGAAAAGATGCTCAACGTCATTAGCAATCAGGGAAATGCAAATCAAAACCACAGTGAGATACCACTTCACATTCCACTGGGAAGGCTAAAAAATATAAAAAGTTTTGGTAAAGATGTGGAGAAATTGGAACCCTGATACGCTGCTGGTGGGATTGTAAACTGGTGCAGCTGTTTTGGAAAACAGCCTGGCAGTCTGTCAAAAGGTTAAACATAAAATTACAAAATGACCTAGCAACTCCACTCTTAGGTATATACCCAAGAGAAAGAAAAACGTACCCGCACAGAAACTTGTACACAAACAATTATAGGATCAGTATTCATAATAAAAAATTGAAAACAACTCAAATGTCTGTTAATTTATGAATGGATAAATAAAATGTACTTATACATACAAAGACTCCCTGGGTGGCACAGTTAAACGATCAACTAAAACCAAAAGATTGGTAGTTTGAACGTACCCAGAGGCATCTTAGAAGAAAGGCCTGGTGATCTGCTTCTGAAAGGTCATAGCCTTGAAAACACTATGGAGTACAATTTTACTCTGACTGCATGGGGTCACCCTAAGTTGGAATCAACTTGATAACAATAGGTTTGTTTTTTTCATTCTGCTCTTTATATAACTCAAAAGTGATTAAATTTAAGGCCCACCCTAATCTGGTATGACATCATTAACATAACAAAAGAAAATCCCTATCTCTAAACAGGATCACATCCACAGGTACAGGGGTTAGGACTTCAACACATATTTTGGCTGGGGGGCGGAGGACACAATTTAATCCATAACAACATGAAATATTTGTAATTCCAAAACCTCTGTTTCTTTTGTTCTTAGGCACAATGGCCACACAGGAAAAATTGGACTCTGATGCAAAGTTTGATGTGCCCAACCCTAACCCCAACACTGTTGTTGTTGTTAGGTGTCGTCAAGTCAGTTCCAACTCACAGAGACTCTATGTGCAACAGAACAACAGCCCATCCTGTGCCATCCTCACAATCATTGTTATGTTTGAGCCCATTGTGCCAGCCACTGTGTCAATCCATCTTGTCGAGGGTCTTCCTCTTTTTCGCTGACCCTCTGCTTTACCAAGCATGATGTCCTTTTCCGGGGACTATTGTTGTTGTTAGGTGCCGACGAGTTGGTTCTGACTCATAGCCACCCTATGTACAATAGAACGAAACGCTGCCCAATCCTGCGCCATCTTCACGATTGTTGTTATGCTTGAGCCCATTGTTGCAGCCCCTGTGTCAATCCATCTCGTTGAGGGTCTTGCTCTGTTTCACTGATCCTCTACTTTACCAAGCATGATGTCCTTCTCCAGGGACTGATCTCTCCTGATAACACTACAAAAGTATGTGAGACAAAGTCTTGCCATCCTTGCTTCTAAGGAGCATTCTGGCTGTGCTTCTTCCAAGATGAATTTGTTCATTCTTCTGGCAGTCCATAGTATATTCAATATTCTTCACCAACACCACAATTCAAAGGCATCCATTCTTCTATGGTCTTCCTTATTTATTGTCCGGCTTTCACATGCATATGAGGCGATTGAAAACACCATGACCTGGGTCAGGTGCACCTTAGTCCTCAGAGTGACGTCTTTGCTTTTCAACACTTTAAAGACGTCTTTTCAGCAGATTTGCCCAGTGCAATGCGTCATTTGATTTCTTGATTGCTGCATACATGGGTGTTGATTGTGGATCCAAGTAGAATGAAATCCTTGACAACCTCAATCTTTTCTCTGTTTATCATGATGTTGCTTATTGGTCCAGTTGTGAGGATTTTTGTTTTCTTTCTGTTGAGGTGTAATCCATACTGAAGGCTGTGGTCTTTAATCTTCATCAGTAAATGCTTCAAGTCCTGTCTGCTTTC